ATAAAATTTAGTGCAGGCTTAGTACAAAGTCAGCTTTTTCTCTTAGGAGAAAAATGAACTGTAGAGAAGAGAAGTTGTAAAGTATCCTTATATTAAGAGGACATGTCTGGTGTGTGTTAATTTTGAACTTAATCCAGCATAAAATGCTCCTTCCCCACCCTCAGTTTACAGTCTTTAATTTTGCCTCTTTGTAAACTGCTTTTAAGAGATCAGGGCTCTTTGCTTTAAATATATTGGAATCTGCTTGGTGGGAGCCCTTTGTTTTGGAAAATACTCTCTCCCCCAGCTTACTTGTCTCCCTCTTATACTCTTCTTTGTTTCGGCAGATGATTAGCCTCCTGGAACCAGTTGGTAGCTGCTAATGTTCTGCAATGGCAAATAATATAAGTCACTTAAATATCAAATGCAAAGCATGTTAGTTGTGCTTTAGAAATCTTTTCACACAAACTGAATGTCATTTTAAAACGGTGTTTAAGGCCAGTTCTCCATATGAATGACCCAAGTCTACGGAAATACAACTACTTGCATCAAGCATACAAATTGAATGGTTATTAAGCACAGGAGCACCAATTCTGATCTGTGCTAGCGTGCTGTATGCTCGCTCCGATTTCTTTCAGGTTCCCTGAAGCATTTCGTTTTTTTGTGTTTCCTCAAACTTGTCAGGCACGTACAGGCATCGGTTTGCATAAGTTGACTTTCCGATTCTATCAACTACGATTTCTTTCTTGACTTTCAATCTCTTGCACAGGGGACTGTAGCCTTTATTTGCTTTTACACTTCTGTGTTCATTTGCTGCTCTGGTTAGAAAATGGGTCATCCTTGGATGAACTCTTATGAACTGCGTCTTCCAAAGGGCTTGCTTTTCTGGGAAATTCTTGCAATGGGAGCCATCTTACGGTCTTCCTGACAGCTACTAATGACCTTATTTCTTAATTAATTGTGTCTCTGACTAATTAATTAATTGTGTCTCTTTTTCCTCAGTGTTGCTTTTCCATGTTTGAAAAAGCTTTTAGAGATGCGATAATTCAAGATTTCAAGGCTCTGGCTTCTTTCCAAACAAAACTTTGATATATTAACGATGAAAACGGAAGTTCCGTTCCATGATCGGTCTGGCGTTTGCACTGATAAGTGGTGCAGACATACCTGGCAGTCAGCCCAGGGTCTTTAGCTACTGGGAGGCTGCCTGGGTGGGTTGTGCAGCTAATAGCTGTGCTGAGTGTAGAACTCCTCTTGGGAGAGGAGTCGTCCTGCTCCTCCCACAGTTAAATATATATACTGATAAAGTTTGTCTATACACTTTCCCTCTCATGCCAGCTAGTATCAGGATTTCTCTTAAATCAGATTTGAAAGCAAGAAGTCAAATGATGGTAATTCTCCTATTAAAACATTATTATAGTGATCATGTGGTTTATGTGGGAGGATTTTGACTGTGCCCTATGGGTTGAGACTCTAAAATAGCTCTTTCCAGGGTCTTTCATACTTATTAGTGTCTGTAGTTTGTTTCTTAGGGAGGGTCCTGTAATCCTATTTGCCTCTTTCGCCAGTACTGGCTTTTATGGCATGTGTCTTTCTGGTTACAGGTATGCTAGCAAATGTATGGCTACCAGAGCACTTCCCCATCTTTCTATTCTTGTTAAGGTTGCAGTCACCGTGCCTTTCAGTCTGGATGACAGTTTTCACTTTATCTCATTGACAGAGTGCAGTGATTTGTCACTCTAAAAGGGTCTTCTTAAGGCGATCTCCTCATTGATGTGAGTGAAAGCGTTGATTACCCTGCGGGCTTCTGATCACTTTGCTGCCTTTTGTTCCAGTTGCCCTAACATCAAGGGAATGGTTTTTTAGACAGCAGGGGATATGTAGCCATTCCCTAATGCAGGGTAGATAGTTCTGAGGCGGTCTATATGCCCTCAGGGTCATGCTGTTCTGTTATAACAACTGTGAAACTATGCTTTGGGACCATTTGGAAGACCATTAGAAGTTTGCAATGAATGCACAATGCTGTAGTGAATACAAGCTGTGACTGGGAATGCTTGACCTTAGCTTCTCATGGCCTACAATTGCACGTTGTGGAATTCCATAGGGAAGCTGAGGTGCTGGTTTTAATCTTTTAGTGGTTTGGATCCTGATCCCTTGAGATGAGTAGAGGGGCATGAACATAGGGGGCTATTGGGAGAGCGCTCTGAGCTGCTGATATTGGAACGTTTTCTGTTGCAGTCTGGATTTGTTAGGCTTTTCCACTACCTGCAACACCTACTACCTTGCTTTCTGTGTTTCAGGTTCGAGTGGGTTGAAGTCAGCATAGTTGTGAGCGGTTGCTGTCTGTGTTCCTGCAGTGATTGGCAATTTCAGAGTACAGGAAGAATGCCCCTACATGTATTTTGTAAAATTGGAAGAAATAAATGATTGGCAACAGAGGTGAGGAAAGGTCACCAAAGACTTAATAAATGACTCAGAATCCATTGGGTTCTTCTGAGGGCAGTGTGAGTTAGAGGCTAAGGAGAGGTAATGCTGAATTTTGACACAAATAAAATAAGAGAAACATGATTAAATCTGGGCTGTCATCTTATCTTCTGCAAGCTGCAGGTGTTGCCCACTAACAAAGGGGAAGTAAACCCTATTTAAGTGGCTAGTAAGAATTATGATATATAATTGTAGATACCCAAGGGCACTTCAGAGGCTGATCATAAACCAACTGTAATTCTTTATTTCCTGGTCTCCTTCCTCTGGGTTATTGCATTTCTGGCTTAGGTCCTCTTTTGTGACTCTTTAAAGGCCCCTTTAAGGGGGAATTTGTGACTCGTTTTTAAGGATGCTCTTTTTACATGTTAGATGGCTTTATGTGCTTTTAGCAGAAACTAAAGGGGAAGTCAGTTGTTCTGCATTGTGTTGTGTAGTCCGTATAGTCACTTATGCATGAACAAATGTCTGAGATATCCCTCCATTGCTGGAAGGTCAAACGTAACATGTCATTGTAACAGACCACCTGAAGCAAGATAGCCCCAACTAGATTAAAAAATACATACATACATACATACATACATACATATATATATATATATATATTTATATGTGTGTGTGTATATATACATATATATGTATAAAATCATTCACACTAAAGTAGTATCAGCACTTCCATTTAGAAACCTCTGATTTTAAGAGATTTCAAGTTTCGAATTGGCAGATTTGAAGTTTTAATGAACTGCTAGGATCACTTGGTGTACTAGAATTATTAAGATCTGCTCACATGTTTCCTTTAACCTCTAGGTAAGTTACTGGATAGTGTCTATTTCTAGCTGGGCTATTAAATCTTAAGAGCTAGATCATTAAATATGTCTCAAAGCAAGCAGTTTTAGGATCCTAAAAGCGATTAATATACTTTAAGGTTGATTTAGATATTACTGTGGAGCAGCCTTCATCCGTTCCTCCATTTTTTCCATGCATTCCAAAATACGTAAACTTAAAGAATTAATTTTAAGAAGCCTTATTTTGCAAGTAGAGACAGTTTTCAGGGGGTTCAGGCGCCTGCAGTGTTTAGCAAAACTGAAGTCTTGATGTGGTAAGCAAAGAATATAGCAATTTTTTTGTATTAAAGTCTGCTCTCCACTTCCTTTGCCTTTTGTTTGACTATTCCTGCGGCTTCAATTTCATGGCAGCTGCTTGAATAAATGCATCCGAGTGGCAGGTTGTCACACTGAACAAAATCAAGACTTCTCTTAGTAGTCCCGTTTTGCAGATGTGATTTATATGCCTATGCTGCTATTACTTGAGCTTATTCGTACTTGGTGAGTAGATCAAAAAGGAGGATGCTACTACTTATACCTATATGGATGTGTTGCATTAGAGGTTGCTCGACAAATTTATGAAAGATGCATCCTTTTATGTCAGTAGTTCCAATTTATATTGGCTTAGCTAGGAGTAAATTCAGTTAATCCTTACTGGGAATTAGGTATTTGGAATACCTTGATTTTTTTTTTCTTTCCTAAGGAACTGAAATATTTTACATTGAAGACCCCTGGACTTGCTGTAGGGCGAGTGAAATCTGGGATAGGCAGCAGGTCAAACTGCAGATTTTAATACCTGAAGGTATCTCTAAACCACTCCCAAACTCATACTATGGAGAGAATTTCCATGTGTTGGCTACCTAGTGGAAGCCACGAGGCAGCCAGTTCATGGGAAGGCTTCTGGCGGTTTCAGCAGGTTCTGGCTCATGCCCTCAGTCTGGTAGTACTTAGGGTGAAAAATGTGGGAAAGGAGGATGTCCTGTGAAATGCAGTAAGGACAAGAGCTACTAGCCTAGGAACAGGTTAACTCCTTCTTGCAAGCTACGAATACATATTCTGGGGAATTTTTTAGGGAAGAATTCTTTAGGAAGAGACCTTGAAACAAGCATTCTGAGAACCTGTCGCCAGCAGAGGTGTCACTAATCAGAGAGCAGATTAGTTTATGCTAATCACAGTGTCCTCACCAGATTCCAGATATTCAGAACTCCTTGTTTCTGCTTTTGGCTGTTGCATGTTGCTGCTTTTCATGGCTGAACTGTTGTTATACTTTGTCTTGCAAGTGGATGTTTTACTTTCACAGGTGAATTTGTTTCTTTCTGTTTTCTTTTTCTCTATTTTCTTTTTTGATTGTGAAGAAACAGAAAGTCTGCATGAAAGGCACTGTGTGCCTTGCTTAAACAGCAGCATACGACATCCCACAGAGACTTTGATTTTGCCGCACTTTTTTCTTTATTGTATTGAAGTATTTGTAGTAAAATTTAGATACTGTGTTGCCTCTTTCTGGTGTTTCTAAAATGGAAGCTGTAGGCCCATGCAATGCTGGATTTAATTTATTCAGAGTTCCTTATCTTATCATCTATGCTTTTGCATATCCAAAGTTAATGGATTGGCCATTCAAATTAGACCAGGAAGAATACTCTGTGAAGTTTTTGCTCTTCTGCAGCCTTTTAAAAAATAATTTGAAAACTTAAGTCACTGATTTTTCTTTTTCCTTCTCAGAAATATACTGCCATTGGACGACTGGGCAAAGCTACTGATACATTAGATGCTACAGGAAAAGTAACTGAAGAAAAACCTTATGGTAACTGAAAATTGATCTATAGATCTGCTCTAATTTGAAGGCAATAAGTGGTCTCTATTGCCAAAAGAGGAAATGTTGTGGACTCTGTGAATTAAATTTAAATGTCAAATCAAACTAAGGTTTTCACCTTCAACTTCAGTGCTCACGTGATTGGGTCCAGCTTTAGGTAATTAGGTCCAGTGCAAATGTTCGTATCTATTGAGAAAAATAAAACAAGCACTAGATGAGGAGAGAGAAAAGAGAATTGGGCGGGACTGTGTCATTCTGTATCTTTTAACAGGCTGACAAATGGTTTGCTGCATCCAGTAGAATCTTCCTCTTTCTGTGTGCAGTCCCATGAGAGCTCTTTTAGTGACACCCTCCAAGACCAATGGAGGGATAAAGTACTGAAGTCTTGCCTCCACGAAGTCCCTTTACCTACAGACCGGTCAGCATAAAATGTGGCTGACAAACTACTCTCTACAGATGTTCACCTACCAAATCTTGCTTGCGGGCTGTCCCCTAGCAACTTTAATAAATGAACTTTTCTGACCCACAGAGCATAGTGCAAGGGTTTAGTGCTTTAGAACTAATCCTGACTGTGGCTTTGTCAGAGTGGACGTTCCACAATACATTCAGAGCTGGCTTAAAGATACCCAAGAGTATCTTAGAAACAATATAGGACTAATTAGAGGCACAGCAAGCGTATTTGCCATTGGTTCTTTCACAAGCTGGGGAAAAAAAGTAATAAGTAACTGGTTGCTTAGCAACTCTTACAGGTCCTGTACTGTTTGTTGTACCTAGTAATAGGTACATTAAATGTATCATATTTTTTATAGTATTTTTATTATAAAATGGTAACCTGGATTGTTTTTTTCCGTCATCTCCTTTCTTTTGCAGTCTTTCTTCTTGCACGAGGCATGCAAGTGCAAGTTTCTTTTCCACTTTAACTTGATGGATCATTCTAAATTGTATTATTTACTATGTGATATTATTCAGAGATCTTTGTTCAGTTGTTTCTATTTCAGGATCAAATTCCAAGTCTCTCTAAGCTTTCAAAGGACTGACCATCTGCATGGTATCAGAGTTGCTAATAGCCTACACTTGATGATCGGTCCCTGGCTTTGCATGCACCTCCCAGCATGTGGAATGCCATTGCTCTGCTACACTGACAGTTCGTTTTAGAATACTGGCAAATAAACTGTGAAATATCATTTCAAGTAGATACAGTAGCCATTATCAGACTAAGGTTTAAAGAACCCCCTGTTCCTGAAATACTAGTCTTGCTTTTTTTATTTTATATTGCTAACTGCAGAGAGAATTTGCAGTAGTTTTCAGAATAGTTTTCATGAGCATTTCTTTCAGTGGCAGCTCTTGTAATAGTAGTTACCACCTCTGCACCACCTCTTCTATTATGGTGGTATAGCTTTTTGTGAGACTGTATGGCAAGCAAGCTTTGGGAACTGATTTAGGTTAAAAATAACTGCTTTTGAATTGAGTCTTTTAAACTGAGATCAAGTTACGTGATCTAGTTCATGGTGCAGTCTGAAGAGCAGTACTGGCAATACCAGGGCAGTGCAGTGGGTGGGGGACAGAGTTTCCTTTTGCTGAGGCTGACTGCTGAAGGAAGTGCTTATGGAATTGGCCCCTGCCACTTTTCATATTGGTGCAAATCAGATTTAATTTTTTCAAAAAGAAGAAATAGAGAACACACATTCTCTTTCTCTTCATGTGTTTCCTTTCTTCCTCATCTTCTAACAGTGCAAGTATTTCCAGTCTTCTCCAAAACAGCTTGGTTTTGTGCTTGATTCTCTTGGTGACCCTCCCATCAGTAATACTAATTGATACTCTAAAGTGCTGGAATATACGCAGCAGATGTTTGAGCTGAATTTCAGCTTCCCTTTGATACCTAGAAGGATCCTTGGAGATGCTGAGCATCTGCTAAGGAATACAGAATCCTGCAGTGCCAGCAGAATCCAGGATTGGGCCTTAGTGCGGAGAAAGGGCAAGAAGACAGCTTGCAAGGTGTTTAAGTCCCTTCTTGAACAACCTCATTGGGTCCTGAGAGGAAAGTGTCTGCAGAAAGTTGCTCGTTAGATGAACCATAACGCAATAGAACATTTTAGTCCTCAAAGCATCTCCAGAGAGCAGTTTAGAAAGCAAGCTATTGTATACATATAAGTTACTTATAATGAAAGGATGTGTCGAAGAGGGCTGGTTGTCTTTAACTCCTCCCAACCTTTTGATAGTTTTTTTTGTTTGTGTCTTGGCAGAGGAAGAGCTTACATTTCCACATGAAATTAGCTTGTGGTTTCATACTGCTCCCAGGCTATCGGAGTGGATGATGTCTTTGGAAGCAGCTATGGTTTAGTGTTTCTCTGATGCTTTCTAGAGAACACTCTCTAAAATTTGTAGCCCTCTGTAACTATGCCCAGGAACGTGCATTCTGAAAACCATTTCCTCCCAGCTGCTTACAGGCTAAATCCAGGCATGGAGAAGAGAATTCATGAGGATTTTCTCCAGGCCTCTGCTGATTATGCTGAAATATATGTTCAGTGGAGCTTCCTGAATAATTAAAAAAATGAGGTAGTCATTTCAACAGCCTGCTTATCTGCTTGCATGTAATTTATACTGCAGCATACTCAGTTGAGGTCAGCTGCTATAGTTCTGCGAAATTGTCATGGACAATTCTTGTAGTCTTGTTCTGTTTTGCTACAGTTCTTTAACAAGCATGGGACAACATCACTTTTGATGGAGGTTTCTTGAGGCCATGGCGCAATCGACACCTTTTGGTTCAGTAACTTTATTTAGCATTCTTCAGGTTTGTAGTAGGAAAATAAGTCAACAGTTATCTGCATTGAGACGCACAACTGTCCTTAAATTCTCGTGTTAGAAGCTAATAGGCTTATTCTGGATGTTTTTAGAAGAATTGGAGACCAGATGTTTTGGGTGCCATGGGATGCTGATAGGAATCGTCCATAGGAAGAAACCGACACGCTCCCGCTGTTGCTCTGAGGGCTTAGGAAGAGATTTAGAAAACATTGTGGAATTGCATATATTCCAAATAGTGTGTATGCAGAGCAGATGCAATAATTTGTTCTAAGCTAGGGCTGTCTGGCTGCTGGGTTGGAGGGTGAAAAAGCATTTTGGGATTGGATGCAGTTATCCAGTGGGCCGAATCTAGGTGGTCCTCACCACTGGAATCATTATGAAACAGGGTGGCAGTCTCCCAAGCCTTGCCCAGAAGGGCAAGGATCTGCAGTTTTAAGTCCAGCTTCTAGTAAAAATTTATGCTTTGTGGTATAGCTGATGAGGATGTTTGGTATTTATGATCAGGATATTGGGAGAAGTAGGCTATCCCTTGGTAGCAAGGGCAATAAGGATCTGTGACAGATGTCCCGCAGAAACCTCTCTCTACCCTTTGCTCTCAGGGAGTGGAGAAGGGGAGTCAAATTGGGAGAGAAAGTTTTGGAACTGTTAACACTAACCTTTGTAAGTATGTTTGTATCTCATGCTTTGTGGAGGATTGAGTCCAAATGCTGCCCTAAACTTATTGACTAGACAAGCTGTTAACCTGCTAACCCCAAGCCTTCGGCCAGGCAAGAGACCTCTGGGCCTAGGGCCAGAAGGAAGACTGTTTTTCTGGGCAAGACTGAATTCCCTCCCACCTGTAAGCATGGATGTAATGACAGCGGGAGCTGAAAGGCAGCAAAGAAAAGGAGAGAGTTGACAGTGCGAGCCGCGTGCTCTGCATAGCCAGGAGTCTGGTCTGAAGCCTGGGCCAAATATGCAATGTAGACTTAGTGAAACTATTTGGGACAGGATTAATAAGGCATTCTTGTCTGACTGAGAGCTGGATAAAAACACCAGCTTGTGTGTTGTTCGAGGAAAAGGCAGACTCTTAAATGCCACCCGTAAATGGAAAGGCACTGTATGCTGGAGGGGGCAGGGGGGAAAGGCATGTTTTCAGAATTTGTTACTAGCCAGCTTGAGCCATGAGATATGACAGAAGACAAATATGATTTATTCTGTATCTTAAACTCATCTATAAATATTTACTGTGATAACACACCACACAACCTTGTTTGTTAATGGCTTAATACATCACAGCTCACTTTTTTTTCCCTTAAATAGAGATTACCTTTAGCATGAGTGATTACCTCAGAGGCTAGATGTATCTTTTCATGTTAACCTCTAAATCAGGGGAATATGAGACCAGAGCAGGAACTGAACCCAGGTGTCTCACTTAATGCCCTAATACAGATTGAATGCATGGGGTGAAAACTGAAAGACACCTCCAAATGACAGGCGTGCTGAGATCTTACATACTGAATCTTGCCCTGAAGCAAACAGCCTTGCAAGAAGGTGACAGGATCACAAACGTGGGGTGGAGTCAAGCTAACTTTTTGCCATGTGATTTTTGTGTGGCACCTTGCTGGACTATAGTACTACACACAGCAAGACTGTGAAACAGCCATTGCAGAGGCACTTAGGAAGAAGCTCCAGGCTTACTATGAGAAAGATTTTGACATTTCTTCCCCATATTCTGATGTGCACTGTTCTTTCTCAGCATCCCTGACTGATTTATGAGCCTTGTGAGGGCTGGGGACAGCATCTGCTCTTGAGGTTGCAAAGTGGGCTTTGTGAAAGTGAGATAACCACATTGCTGTCTTCAAAAGTTACCGTGGAAAGAACTCTTCCTTTTTACTTGCAGCATGCTTTGTGAGAGCTTCAAGTAAAAGACTGTACCAGGTAGAATAAAATATAACAATAAAATATAATAAGGGGTCAATAAATAAATTTTGTTTATGTTACAAGATGCTGTTGACTTCAGTAGGGTAATGCTAATCAAATATAACTTAGGAGAAATGGGACTCGTCAAATCCTAGTCAATCACTGAAGTGCATCATGGTTACGGATCCTCTGTTTGTGATCCCTAAACAAATTAGGGATGAATGTCATCTCTGAGTAGTATTTCAAGGGACCGACACAGTCACCTTAAGTTACAGTTTTCTAATAGGGGGGGCATATGTGTGTGTTTGTGTTCTCTAAAGAGAGTAGATTGCGTAATGCAGATATTTCTTTAAAGGCTTTCTTCAATAAAATGGCCGTACTTAATATGTAACAATACCTTTATAAGCATCTGCAGGTTAGATATTTGGTAGCTAGGGAAATGCAATGTGCTGTTACGGATGCTGTCTTTACCAGAGGGGGAAAAAATTACTTTTGTTCTCTAATAACCTGTGTATCTTTCTTTGCAGTTAGATCTTCTTAAAGAGAAGCTGCCAAGCTTAGATAAGCATTTTATTCTTTTTGGTCCTTAAACAAAAATTAGAATAGGACAACTTTTGTAGTTTTGCATCGTTCCCAGAAAAATGAATTTGCAGTCCCAGATGAGAGAAGTTGCAAAACAGAATTGTGTATTGGGAGATTTCTGCCCTTTTGGAGGTGTCCAGACAGTCTTAACCACCTTGGACAGCTTGTTTCACTCTTTTTTTGCAATAACTCACACTCCTACCTACATTCTGTTCTTTCTTTCTTGTGGCGTTCTTCACTGAATCTAAATTCAAAGCAGAGGGACCTCTTTTTTGTATGTTTTTGCAGAACGCGGTTGATGTCATTAGTGCTATGTGAATAATCGCTGCTAACGTGCCTGTTGTTTTCTTTCTACAGATCAGATAACAAAAGGAGATCTTGAAAATGTGCTGCAAAAGTTCACAGGGGACATAATGCAGGTTCCTCCACTGTAAGTTCTACAGTATTCAGACACTCTCAGGAGCAGTGTTCAGCTGTCAGGACTTGCCAAGAGAAGTCAGTTCTGTCAGAAATAAAAAGGTACATTTTTGACAACAGGATAGATGCTAGGCAGACTTAGGAGTTTAACTTGACACATTTGTAGCTGCAGGTCATGCTGATTTGAACATCAGCGACAAATGGTCACTTGGAGTCTGTTTTGTTGGTAAAGTAGAACAGGAGTCTTAAACAGCTTTTGCAGGGCTTATGGGGTTCTGCCCTGTCTTCTAGTTAGAAGGGAAAGTCTTGAGACTTCAATTTTAGATGTGGGGTGGAGGGACGCTTTCTGACATCAGTGTAGAAGTGCCTTAAATGGCTTTCAAATTCGTTTTCTAAAAACTCTGTGTATAAATGATCAGTGATTAAGCTTCCTTAGCTTAACAAATTTCTTCTAGTCAGGTGAGCCACAGTAAGTGGTGATGTGCAAGTGCTTAGCTTGTGACGGATGGCTTTTATGGTGATTTAAGCTAACATGCTTTCCTTTGCATTTGCAATGGGTCAGTTACTGTGGTTCCACTGTGAGTTCTGTAAGGTCAGTTATTTGGTAGGTATTCTGTTTCGTCTGACCTCCGTTGTATCCCTCAGGGAATTTGAATAAGACCTTCTTTTTTTTTTTTTTTCCCCCCCCCTATGGTCATCTTTCTTTCAGGGCCTGAGTTGGACCTTTGGATAAGGTCTCATGATATGTTTTTTTCATTTGATAGTGGTCCCCTAAACACTGTAGAACAAGGTTATGGTTCAGTCAGGGGAAGACTGCACTGAGTCAGTTAAAGACACAAGGCAGAGTTAGAGGAGGGAAGCTGCCTGAGCAACTTTCACCTCCCAGTGCTAACATAGCACTGAGACTCTGCGACTTGCGGACTTCTGAGAGGCAGTTTGTTAGCCACAGTTACAGGTGTTGTACCCCGATAGAGACCCTTTGCTTTCATAAACAACAAATCAAGTGATGAAACACTTGTAAATTGATACAGCAAGGAGTAAATACAGGACTGTCTCTTGTTTTCCAGTTTACCTAGCAAGTGGTGAATTAGATTATTCTGTCTTAAAGAGATTTCAGCAGCACTTGGTACGTTTTATTTTTCATGAGCTCTTGGAGAAGATCAGAAGGGCAAAAGGTATCCTATTGTAGTACAGCATTAACAGGATCTGGAGGATGGGAAGCTTGTTCTCTTGCAAATGTATGACATTTTTGTGCTCTGTTTGGTCAGCTATTCTGCTTTGAAGAAGGATGGACAAAGGCTATCCTCTCTCATGAAAAGAGGAGAAGCAGTTGAAGCAAAGCCTGCTCGGCCAGTAAGAGTGTACAGCCTCTCCCTCCAACACTTCCAGCCACCACTGTTCACACTGGGTAAAGGCCATAGAGTGATGCTCCCAGCTTGTTTGTTAGAGCTTATTTGCACTTGGAATTGGGACTGAGATAATGAAATGGGTTTTGTTTCCCTTAGCTACTTATTTTGGTGTGAGCCTACGTGCAGAGACTCCCACTCTGCAGTAAAAGCACTGTATTTTGGTTTTAAGTTAAGCTGATTATGTGTAATCTTTCTGTGAGGGAAAATTCTGAGAGGCTGGTCAGGGGGTTATTTGCATCTGTCCATGACTGCACAACCTCCAGCTCACTCCTCCTTTCTCAGGTCTGCTTACTTCACTTTACCCATTCTTTTGCTTGGATGCCCAAACCTACTGGTGTCTCTCCCAGGGTGCAGCAAGGGCCAGTGTGGGTTACTGTCAGAACTCTTTCTGTTTTGGGAAGGCAGGATCTTATCCTCCCTTTTGCCATACATGAAACTTGGGTAGTACATTAAGAAGCACATTAATAAATAAACAAAATGCTTTTATAAATGTTTGATGCTGCTGTGAGGTCAACATAATCTTATGCCTCGGGGAGCTACCCAGTTGGCCCTTCCATAGTTCTCTGGACTAGATGTTATGTGATGAGCAGGTATGAGTGAGAGAACTCAGTGCTGTGTTATTTCAGTCCTTATTTTGTGATGGGGTGACTAGCAGCTGATCAGTGGCAGAGGGGGAAGGGAAGAGCTGAGAGAGCAGGGAAAGTTAAAAGTGAATTTTAAAATGTCAGCAGCTTTTATTGGAGCAGCCGTTGCACTTTGTGCAATAATATCTTAAGTGTTGGTAGTCAGTTTAGGCTAGTACTTGAAATAACTTTTCACTGCTAGAAATATGAAACAACCTTTTGAAACTTCAAAATGAACAGGACTGAAACATTTATTCACATGCCACAGCAAGTACTTAATTTCTAGTGAGTTCAGTTGCCATTGTGTTTGCTTTCCCTCCTCTCTAGCTTAGCAGTCTCACCCACCCGTGTGTTACAGGATGAATAATTGATGTTGTATCCCATAAATATTTTATCACTGGGTTGTTTGCTTAGTGCATTTTTACATTTGTTTGGGAACATGGCTTCTATGTAAAGTAGATTTTATACTACGCTGGCAATTTACCATGTCACTGTTAACATTCCAGATGTTGAATGTGGTGGTGGCTTTTATGTCAGGAGCCTGGTCAGTGACATTGGCAAAGGTAGGCATGAAAAAAACATGACAGCTTAAGGAATGAATGTTTCTGTTAATAGAAAAATCATGTCACTTTCTATATCTCCAGCCACCAGACTTAGGTGCTATGTTGCAAAGTCGTACTCCTATCGTTTGTTCACTTGTTTCTATGTACTAGGGTATTTTCCTTTGGAATATGGGGTGATGAGAGTTAAATAATTGCCAGAGGACCCCGAGGAGGAGTAGAAGTGGGACATGTAATAGCACTGAGCAAGATAATACAAAGCAAGTTTTTAGATCTGGGGTTGGGTTTTTCTTTTCTCCTCCATATGTTAAAGCTAACTCAGAGCAAGGGTGAGAAGAGGGAAAAAGATACTGTCTTTTTAAACGTTGTTCATCACACTTTGAAAACAGATTGCGCAGAACATTATGATGCACATAATAAAACTGTCTGCTGGAAAGACTTCTCAATTTGTGATGTTTTTTCTAGTTTTTTCCTCTCTCCTTTCCCTGAACTGTGAATGGTGTTGCTTTCCCACAGGGTTATTTGTCTTGTACCTTATATCTATCGAACTGCATAATGGAGAACAGACAGTCCATTAAAAATGTTTTTAATGATAGATTTGCAGATCAAAAAAACAAGTGATGTGGGGGAACCTCTGAATTTCAATGCTGTTCTTGGACTTGCCTAAGCACAAATATTCTTTCTGGTGCTGCGTTCTGAGCAATACTGGCTTGTGTTTAGTCCTTTAATGACAAACCAAGATAAAGTCTGTCCCCAGTTGGCCTCTTTTCAAAATAAATTTGAAGCGCAGTAAAAATCCTCCTACATTTGAGAGGATGGAAGAGAATATTTTAGTGTTAAATTCTAGGCCTCTGGGCTTTCAATTTAGCTCCAGGTGTTGTTATCTTTTGTAAGCCCTCATTATATAACTCCTTCCTACTGGCATTTATTTAACCCATCAGGAGATATGCTGGTTTTTTGATTCTTCCTCATCGCAGTTTATATTATCTTGATAGGTGGCACAGCATAAAAATGTCAAAAATCCCTTTTTGAAGGCAAGATATAAGCACTTAAGTGTGAAGGCCTCAGTCTGTGGGAAAATAGCTTATGGTCTTCTAAGTCACTTGTGAATACAGCATGCTCTGCTTTTATCTTATGTCATTACTTCTCTTTTTTTTTCTTTCTGATTTAAATCTGGAATACCTCCTGACAACTTTTTGTCAGATTTTCAACTTCATTATGCGGGAGATCTATTGAAATCAAAGGAAGAATTCCTTGCCTCAGATTTAAGATGATGTAAACGAGTGAAAAATCTTCATGAACTTCCTTCTCAAACTAAGCAGAGTAGCGTTGAAGGCTACATGTAAAGATGTATACATACAAAGCATTTTAAATGAGTTCAAATAGACAGATTGGTCATTTACTTTTTTCTGAATCCTCTTCTCTTTGATACAGAACTCTCTACCTGTGCCAGTGTGCAAGAGCTGACCCGAACCAAACAGGGGCCATTTACGCTAGAGGAGCATGCACTTTATGAAGACAAATGGACAATTGATGAAATTGCACGATCCTTAGAGCATTGCATGTCTCTTCTCCCAGGAGAGCCATCTCATAAAAAATTTAAGACAGAGGCTCCTGGAGAAACCGCTGTGAGCTGTGAAGATAAGTGATAAGTTGGGTCAAGGAGAAAGACTGAATGATTGAGACATTTTAAGATTGGATTGGGATTGTCTTGCCTCTTGTGTGAATTTACAGGCCTGTACTGGGAGGGTGACAAACTGCAACGAAAGAAAAATGATTCCTTTCTTTTTTCCCCCTGAGCTAGACTATGCACCGAAAATATCCACTGCTTGCTGTTTCCTGATCTGCTTATTTCCCTTGTGGCCCACTGTAAATGGGTCAGCTACTAATGTCAAGTCGTCATAAACTCTTTAAAGAACCTGTGGGGTGCGAAAAGCTATGGCTTTTGTAACTAATTTGTCAATAAAAATTAAGATTTGCTAAACGTGCTCCAAAGAAGAATCTTTTTTTCTTTCTAGCTGCTAATCAAACCCTGAAATACCATGGTGACAAAACTCTTAGCTTGAAGGATGTATCTTGCTGTGCAGATATTTTTTTCGGTGAAGTGTTATCTAGAATGCATTAAACCTAGATGCTGAGATTTTAGATAAATCTGAAATGTTAGCATGAGTTAATATTTTGTAAGTATGAACAGTCCCTGATGATAATTTGATAACAAGGACTGAAGGATGCAGTCATCATTACAAGTATGCATAACTTATTCTGGTAGAACGCCCTAATCAATGACTATTGCTAATTTCAAGTATGGTTTACTGTTGTGCCCTTCATAGGACACATAAAAGTACATTTCATCATATGTGTAATGCTTGAAGTGTCTGCTGCAGATTGGGTAGAAGGTCAGTATGCTTCTGGGCTTTGAGTGGTTTAGTCCTGACTAGAAGTTGTGAAGGCAGCAGCGGCATCCACCGTTTCATCTTTGCTGAAACCATTTTAATTTGGTGGGTTAGGGAAGGCCTGTTCCACAGTTCATGCACTCAACTGAATTTGATTTCAGAGTAATTCCCGCCACTGCTTCCCTTGGGATTTTTTTAGTGATTAAAAGATTGAGTTTGCTAAAAAGCACCCTAGTCATTTCTGCGTGTGTGGAAGGGACTATGCTAACAGAACTTCCATATTTGACCCCCTTCAAGAAGTTAGTGGATCTGCTTTCCTCCTGCTATAGTGGGGAATATGAGGGAATAATTTGAGCGTGTAAGTGATACCTGAGAGAAAGCCCTGCTTTTGAAATTGTGACTGATGCATCAGCAAAGTGGAATGGACTAGCTGCTGCTGCAGTTCTAGGGTGCTGCTAGCCGCCTGGCCTGCGGTGGCTTTGTACCACTTTTAGACCTTCGCTTTGTGGTTCTGGAGTAAAGAGTTTCTTACACTGAGTGACTGAAAGCTCTAAAGCCAAGAGTTTGTGGTTATACCAGGGTGTATCTGTTACAGAGGGACATGAACATTTGATTTAATGACTCTGTGTTAATGGACTTGCTACTTTCCTTGGTAAGTTATCTCGGTAGCTAATTACCTCCATTGTTTAAAAGACGTTATGTTTTATTCCCAACTTGAATCCGCACACACTGCGTTTTGTGTCTTTCTCTGCAAGATTCAAGCACCTTACAAAAGCTGATTTGTGTGTGTGCTGGTATTATGTGAAATGATCAAGTTCCAACATTGCTTTCAATATTAGAAGTGAAATAAAACAAGTATCCTGAAGTTTCTCGTTGCAAGAAGCCTTTCCAGACTTTCTTATTTTATAGATAGCAAGTAAGAACTATAAAACTGAAGTCTGTATAACAGAGGATTTTTTTTGAGAGAGGATGGAGTTTGTTTTATTCTCCAGTAAGCAGTCAATTTTGTTTTTTTTAATAATATGAAGAATGTAAAAAAAAAAAAAAGTTGAAAATATCAGCAAGATGAAGTGTTAGAGCATTGTAGCAACAGCATGTTTATATGGAATGTGGATTAAGTGACTCTTGTAGACATTTCTGATTTAGGAGATGGTGTTCAGTAGAACAGTGGGAGATTTTATTTGATTTTGAGGGGGCGGATGTTTTTTGGAACTTTGGATGGGAACAGAGAAGATTACTTTCTAAAGAAACCACATAAAACTGAAATTTTCATTTTCCAGTACATGTATCTTGAAAGATCAAAGACTTTGAAAGAAACTTAGCTTCTCTGATTGTCCAAATTTGGCTTTTTCCAAGAACCTAGTTGATGTTATCCCAGTGGTCTTCTACAATAAGAAGTTCTCTTTTTGTTCATTTATCCCGTTGGATATCTTTCTGCTCTCTTAAAAATAGCCCACTAGATATAATTCCACTAGTCTAGCTGTTACACCTACAGGGATTTGATTCTTTAAAAATTCCTGGAATTGAGAAATCTTTCTATTAATAGTGTACATTTGTGTACAGTGTGCTGTAAGTCTAGCACCTTTTTTCTCTCATTCTTTGTGCAGTGCTCACCATGGGTTTCTTGCTATTCCATATAAGACTGTCTAATTTTAAAAGAAGAATACTTCCATCAGCTTTTAAGTTAACTTGCCAGTACTCTGTTGTGATTATTGCTAACAGGTCTGTGATCCTGAGAAGAGAGGATCTGCTCCCTTGTCTAATCACTGGAGAGAAAATAAATGGAAATCAAAGGAAAGCATCCTGATGACATCAGCAAGTTTTGGTTTAGGCTGCAAGTCCCAACACATATGGAAAGCACCAGGAGAAAAGAAGTGCGGTTGTCCATTTCCAAGAATCTGCATGTGGTGTGTGGATCATGCTATTAAAACTGGTGTCTTTCTCTCTGTTCCCATAAAACGTATTCCTGTGCAGCAAATGGGGAGACTTTCACCTGCTCTAGCTAGACTTACTGTCTGGAATTCTTCTCTTCCCTGACCATGGTTTCTGTCCCCTCCAGAAATAAAGGCAGAACTTATCTCAAATTAATGAACAGTTTCTCTCCAGATAAGTTATACTGAAGCTGCTTCTCCTACAAATTGTGTAGAAATAAGTTTGTTTGTTTGTAGTTGTAAATGGCTGCATAGCATGCAAAAAGTAAGGCAGAGAGCAGGTAACAGTCCTTAGAAGGTACGGTGCGAAGCATGCATTTGAGAAGGTTGTATTGATGGTAAAGGCATGAACAATTATGCAATAACACCTTATTAGTGTGACCACTGACAAGTGTCAGCATGATGGTATCCTCATTCTGGCCCTAAACAGTTGAGCTATCTTTTCACAAATTCAGACTCCCCTGGCTGCTTCCTAGTGTCCTTCCTAGATGCTCATCCTCACCTGCATGCCTTTTCCTAGATAATCCTGTGCTTTAATGGGTCTCTTCTCCTTGAGCCAAATAGTCCCAATGAATAGGGATTGGGGGAGTCAATTAAAAATCTGGGAAAAGCTCTTTTTGGGTATGTTTTAATGAGTATCTAACTCAGTATCTTGCAGCTTTCCAGGGCTGGAAGCAAGTGTTGTGTTTCCATGGGAATTTAGGAAAATACTCTAGCTGTAACTCCTGTATTCTTATTAACATGCATGTCCCTGAGATACAAGGCTTCAGAATTGTGATACATCTGTAGAAAAACTGATGTTTTTCCAGAAATAAATAACCTATAACCCTGGATCTTGTGACTTAGACTGTCGCACTATCTCTAGATTAAGGGCAATTTAGAGTGCGAAGAAAAGTATGTATATAATGCTTTTGACATTAGTAGAGGAGTTAGCACCAAGTGTCCAGCTGATACAGGTTTGGGGACAAAGCGTACTTCATAAGAATTTTATGCTGCTCTGGCCAGAAGATGTCTTTGATTTACCATTTAAAATGTCAATGATAGATGTGAAGATTTGTGTCATTTTAATGAACGTTGTTCTTGGGGAAAGTCCTAATGAAAAAGCTGGTCCTGCTTTTTGAGCGGAATATTGTCAGTCTTGCATTTGGTCTCATGATCTTTGGACCGTAGCAGTATGCTGCCATAGTCTGGCCCTGGCTCTGCCACCACCACTGGTGCTGCTTCGGTGGGATTGACACGGGCTTCATAATTTATCTCCTTCTAATGTCTCTGCTTGGCTGGGTCTCTTTCTTCTTTATTTAAATGGTAGTTTTCCCATGCGCTTCATAATTTATTTCAGCTGCCTGCACATTGAGAGATTTTTAAAAACATTTTTAAGGCAAAATCAATAGTTTTTTTATATTAGTCAAGCCTGAGCCATTAGTGAAATATTCTTAGATATTGATGAAGGCACTTCTAGAACTTAGCATCTTACTATGCAGTTCTGTTTTTGATTTATATGTTTTTATGAGAACATAAAGTTGAACTCCGAATAACTTCTGAAATTTTGGGATACTTTAAGAATTTTTTTTTTTTAGTGTAATGAATGGTGAAGTCACTGTTATGAGCATGAATGGCTCTAAGACATAAATGGCTAAGGTCATTCTGTGTGCTTGGTATAATCGAGGAATTGGTTGGCAGTAGTATTCATTTCATTAAAAAGGCCAGAGAGAGAGCGTGTGTGTGTGTGTGTGTCTCTTTGATATACGGCCAGAGGGAAGCCACATAGGCAGTGAATGGATTCAGCCAGCCTGAGCAAAATTACTGTCCCCACTAAAGAGCAGTCATTGTTTCTAGTTGTCATGTGTTTAAATTGGTTATTTTTGTGACCTCCTGATTAAGTAAATCACCAGTAGTTAAGTGCACCTCAGATGAGCAGGGTGAATGGTTATCATCTGAATGCTTATGTCTCCACTCTGGTCAGACAGCATGCCTTTTCTTGCTGTCTCTGAGATCAGCTACTAAAATCATGTAGGTATTAAGGATGGTTCTAGTGTTCAAGACCAGAAATGCTTAGTGAAAACAAGCCACTATATTGCAAAAAATATAGTGGCATATTTTTTCAATTTTTTTGGGCAGGGGGGAAGTGTTGAAGTCACTGCCATGGTTCAGAGAAACTGTGACTGTATGCGCCTGGAGAAAACGCTTGAAGATTTTTGTTATGGGCGGGAGTGTCTTGGACTTTATTCCTCCTTCCTCCTCAACTCTAGGTCAAAGAAGAAGAGTCAAGTGAAAGCAGCAGCCTCTCTCTGACTTTTCCATGTCACGTTGCCATGTGTGTTATGGAATGAAAATTTAGAACAACTTTGTGCTCAAACTTTGGGGCTGATGTGGCTTATCCCGGAAGTTAACAGTAGTTGAGAACAAGTAAGACGAGATGAGGAAATGGAATTTGTAGTATAAAAACACACAAGTATCTTTACAGCCTACAAAATAGCCTTCCTCTTACCAGAATTATTCATCTTTAATTGCAGCCCTGTGTGTGGCCTTTCCGTTTTCCAAGAGCTCCTCCTAAAATTCTCTCATTCTCTCCTTTGAATTCCTTTCCAGGTACATGCAGGCCTTGGAAAAGTGTGGAGCACAATGCTGTATACATTCTTCTGAGGAAAAAGTCCATAGCA